GCAACGATCCTCCTGCCTCAGCCTTCCATGTGCTAGGATTACAGGTGTGCGCCACCACACCTGGCAGTGTTTTCTTACAAAATCTTATTCAAGCCAGTCTGGTGGCACATGCCCATAATCCCAGCACTTGGGAGGCTGAAGCAGGAGGATCCCTGTGAGTTTGAGACCAGCCTAGGCTACTACATAAGCAAGTTCAGGTCTAGCCCTCACTACAAAGCGAAACCCTGTTAAAAAAAAATTAAATTAAAATTAAAAGAATTTTTAAAATCTCATTGAACAGTTTTTTATTAGCATGATTCAAAGTAAGATTTGCTAACGCTTTAGCTTACAAGTCAAGCCGATACGTAAAGCTAGCAACATACACATTTTTGTGAGAGTTGGTATGTACGAATAAAATTTAATTAAGTTTAGATGAGTACTGCTCAAACCTGGTCCAGGGTGTTAGAAAGCAGCTGTCTGTGTGTGTGCACACCCTTGTGTCGCTTTATCTCTTCTCAGGAGGCTTCAGTGACTGTGGACTTGAATTTTGTTTTGTAGATGGAGATGGTGATGCAGATGGAGCAACTGGAAAGAAGAAAAAGAAGAAGAAGAAGAAGAGAGGACGTTAGTGTCTTGCATTGATCTTATTTGACAGAGTTTAAATGCAGTTGTTAACAGAGATGTTCAGAAACTCTTTCTGGTCTTGGTCCAGATTGGGGAAACAAGCTTCAGCTCAGTAGAGGTAGAATAAGTAAAACTAGTAATTCTGTGGCAAATACTGGTATTTTCTTTGGCTGCTCTTTGGTTAAGATTGTTAATATGAGCCGATTGAATTTAATCACAAATTAGGAATGAATTCCTAAAAATAAATTTATTTATTTATTTTTTTTAGGTGGGTCACGTGTAGTTTGAACTGGCCTTGAACTCACTGTGATCCTCCTGCCTCAGCCTTCTGGGTGCTGGGGTTGCAGGCATGTAGTGCCATGCCCATTCTAGTATTTCTTTGTAAGCACTCTCAGATTACTACCACCTCCTTTTTCCTGGTGGTCTTTCGTTTGTTTGTTTTTGAGACAGGCTCGTGCTGTGTAGTTCAGGCTGGCCGTGAACTTGCGGTGATCCTCCTGCCTCGGCTTCCCAAGTGCTGGGATCACAGGTGTGTGTCACTATGCCTGATTATTTTTTTCCTGGTGTTAGTATCAAAAATAATTGAACTGCTGGGGATATAGATCAGCAGCAGAGCGCCTGCTTG